TTACAGTATACAGCATTAAGTTGTTTTAAATTTTAATAGGTTGAATCTTGCTGATTGGTAAAACCTGTAAGATCAGATATGTTCTCTTGCATACTGTTGAACTCGGGTTGTTTACACTTTACAGTCGTGAATAAAATTTTCCGCATATTTCGTGTTACCTTTTTAAACATATATATACATTCACAAATTTGAACTTTAAACTTGAAAACTTGCAACCCAAATTTCACCTCCTCTCCTCTACCTACATATGCGAAAATCTCACCCATCCTAGTCTCATGTCTGATAAAAACTAATACAACCTGATTTTACATGACAAGCCCTTTTGTTCACACTGAGAGTTCGATCTATCATCCGACAAAAGCTTCTTGTCCATTATTTAAGCATGGATCAAATCTGATATTACCAAAATTGTTACCATAAACCAACCAGAAACAACAGCAGCACTTGATAATTATGTTCATCAAAAAACAGCCGCAGCCTTCTCAAATACTTCTATTAAGCTTGACACATGCAATCGGGAGCTGGATATGTATATATGGATTGTTTCGCCTTTCTTAGCCTTAGCTGCCCTTGTCTATTTTTATGCCCACCAAGAACTGCATGCTGAAACTCTGACCATTCCATGCTCTTGTTCAGGAAGAGCTTGCCCAACAGTGTCATATTTGGTCTTATGGTCTTCAAATTCAAGTAAGCTCGGTGCGCAACCTAACGAGAGAAATTCAATCACAAATTTAGAGTTGTAAAACACCGTTCGCAATTGCACTGCAATTAGAAAGGAACACAAAGACCCCGATTTTATATTTCATATTCTAAAAGGCAACTTTGGGAGTAGACAGGTTCCTTCCTCCACCTCTGACTCAAAACCCAAAGATACATTATTTACGGCAATGCATTATGTATTATGTATCCTATGGATCCCATAACAAAAGAGACTTATCATAGCACATGGCCTGATTCTGGTAAAATGAATTACTCCACAATCAAGAAGAAGATAAAAGCTTTAAAAACATATTGAGAAAAAAGATTCTTTACCAAAGCATTGTGCATGTTGCCTGGAGAAGCAGAAATGAAGATGTCACTCTGCATGCTCACATAATAATCAACGGCAGCCAACAAAGAAGCCTTGCCATCAACCATGGCCAGTTCCTCTGCAGAGGCAATACTCTTCTTATCTTCCATTAATGGAAACAATTTTTGTAAAGTTGAGATCCTAGCTTTTCCACCATAAACCTAAATTAGAAAATGGTTATTCCCTGTCTCAAATTCTTCACAGGAAATAAAGAGATCCAGCAGCCACACAGGACACTGACCTTCTACTTTTCAACCCCTAAATAAATATACAAAACATCAAATTTCAACTGAGATGGCAGGAAAACCTTGTGTGAAGCAAGACAGAGGCGAGTGCTATTGTTGAAGCCCAAAGCTGCTAGCAGCAACCCAATCTCTTCTGGAGTTAATGGGCAACGCCCCTGATTTCTCAACTCTTCATCAGTGAACTGAGAGTTTAAGACTCTTCCCTGCCAAATTACCTGGCGGTATTTGGCCAGTGCCAGTTTTTCGGCTTTTCCTCCACCAAAATCACAAGCTGAATGAGCGGCCATATCCTACACTAGGTCAGGTTAGAGACAATGTATACATTTGCTCAAAATGCAATTATAAAATACCATGAAACCAAAGTTTTTTAAGTGATACCCAGTAATAAATAATTTAATCCCTCAAAATGTTAGATGGCTGTGATTGATATCTCATCAACTTCTACTATTTGAGACCCATAGATGATTCCAACTTCAATATGCACAAACCAAACCAGTATTTTCTGATATCTAGTGCTTATGGTCAATAGATACAGTTTTTAGACTTAAAAAGTTCCAGGAATGCATTTTCCATAAACAGGAGTGATGATAAGGTCCAAGATTCACCTTATAAAATAAGTTGATAATTAAAAAAAAAAAAAACCTGCAGGTTATGTTCACTAAATCAGTTAGAGTATAGGAGGTTCATACTTTATCAAAGCGAAGATGTAACACAACAAACTTCCCCGCTCCTGTGACCTCAGGATCATCTATTCTCTCCTGAAGGAACTCAGTCCCTGAAGCATGAAGTTTGGCAGGGGGATGACGGAGGCGATTAACGATGATCTCTCCCAACACCCTAATATGACGAACAAAAACTAATGCTTGGAAGTTGACTTTACAACGTAGGCGTTGGATATCCATTGGCAAGTTGTCAAAAGCCAAACGATGAGAGAATGGGGCTATAGCAGCAATTCCATAACTGCAATATCAAACTATCACTTCTTATGATGGTAAAGTTTTTTCAAAAAGAGGATACAATATAATTCTGAATATTTCTAGGACATTACTCATTAGTGCATGAGCAGACATCTGAGGTAAGATCCACAGTATAATGATGCAAAAATATTATAGAAGGTTAGTAACTGTTTAAATTCATATTAACAACTACTCTATCAAAGCCTAAAAGAGTTCTTCAGAAAACTAGTAATTGTCATTGATAAAAGAAGAGAATATCTTTTACAGTAGTGTACTTTAAATTGTAAGATCTCATGAAATTACAGCAAGCCCTGAGGCCAATACCAAGAATAGAGGAGAGAAAATGAAATGCAGCTTCTTAGTTAAAAAAATTCAAGCAGCAACTTTATACAAAATAAATAGGGATGGAAAGAATTCACCAACCTCTGTAACACGGGCAGGACAGTTTCCATATACCAATTAGCCGAAGCATGTACAGGTGCAGTTTTAATTCTAGTGGCTCGAATACCAGTAGCATAATACTCCCGAGAGCTCCAAGAGTATTCACTTGGTAGCTCTTTAACTATTGAAATTTCATCGCGCAACGAATAAATGAAGTGATCCACATCAAATATGTCAACAAATGAGCTGCAAAAGCAAAAAAAATAATTGAATTATAAATGGCTCCCGTTTAGAAAGGAAACTAGAATGTAACATGGGTAGCCAAGATAGCTTACTCATAAATACCTTGAATCTTGCCAAACTGGATTCACTTCAAGGTGCGGGATCACCAGGGTTGCATTCAATATTTTGGCAACAGCAACTGCATCGCATATCTTGATAGTAAGCAAAACAAAGAAGTCAACAACACAAGCACTCTTATTCAAATAAAAAGCCAGAAAATTACTATGATAAGAAACAATAAACATAATAATAACACAACATCCATAAACCTATTATACAAACTCTTCTATATAAAGTGGTTGACACCTAAGCACAATTGCAACATTATATCAATATCTTCATAGGCTTATCATTTTCATCTGCTATAATTAACAAGTAAAATTAACCAAAAAGAAAAGAGAAACATAAACTTAATGGGAATGAGCAATTGTGCGATTACTAACCCCCATTCTTTGCTGATTTAATCCGCCATCAAGAAATATTTGAATATAACCTTGAGACTTTTTGGGCAGTTCTGCACGAGACAACTATGAATTACTAGTAAAAAGAAAACAACATACCAAGTAGAGAAGAGATCCAAGTAACTAGTACTCACGAGGTGTATTTGTTGATTCAACACAAGGTTTCCAGCCTTGATTGGCCAATGGAGACCAGATTTCCAATTGTTGTTTAATTGACTGAAAATAATAAATTTCAGATTTACGACAGTAATAACAATGGAAATAAAGAAAAAAAACAAAAATTAGAGCATACGATTTGTCTGCGTAAAGCTTCCTTAAGTAGAGACAAGTGTCGAGGTTTTGGGGCGTTCCACTCCTGCAAATGCAATTACTAGATGATTATAAATGGAAATGGAAATGGAAATGGTGAAAGTGAAATGAAAAATGTATAGAGACATACAGAGAAGATGGAAGGAGAAGCTCGACCTAAGGGGCCGAACAAATTAGGAAGAAAAAGGGGGAAAAGGATGACCAAGAGTCCAAGGAAAGCCATTCTCTGAGATTGATTCTGGTAATTGTAGAAGAGTTTCATTTTGTTAGGAGGGAAGGTAAAAGCTCATCAGATTTGTTGGTTAAAAACTCATAAGATCGTATTTGTCTAAACTAGAAATTGTTGACGAGTGTAGAAACTGACTGTCAAGTGTCGCTTTAACAGAAACGTAAGGTGGAATAAATTATCAAGAAAAGGTGGCATGCAACAAGAAGCTTGCCCAATTCAACATCTTGTGAACGGTTTCCTTTCCTATTACGTATCTTATTAATAAATTTCTTAATTATTATAATTTCAATTTTCTTTTGGGCTTAGATGTGATATTACAGCGTCCATTATTAATAAAACGTTGTTTTTTTTTTTTTTTTGGTAACTTTTATTGTATACTGCATCTATTAACCCTCTACAACCTTAAAAGAAAAAATATTTAAGAGCAACAATGTGAACAGTAGCAAAATCATTAACACCTCATCCTGGCAAAGCCCATGAGGCTCCCCACAGGTGTAAAATACAGCTACTAATGAGATGGATATCAAATCGTCTATCGTATCGTGTATCAAAAATCTAATTTTTTGAATTGTGTATCTCGTATCGTATCGTATCGTAAGATACGTCTTTTTAAAAAAAAATTAATAAAATAATCAAAATTTTCTAAAAATTAATATAATCCCCAGAATTAATTAAAAAATTTTGTGGTATTATTGACTTTAAATTACGGTATTAAATAATCAAAATTAATCACAAAATTCCAAGATCAATGTCAATATCTATATCTCCACTTATATTATTATTATCATGTAAAATGGGCAATACATATTCCTCTTCACTTTCTCCATGCAAAATAGGTAAATTTGCACAGATTTTAGTTAATCGGGTTGGTTGACATTTTTTTTTTTTTAGACATTTGACCCAAATTAATAAAGTCATATCGATATTTTTAAGGATACGAACGGATACGTAAGATACATATCAACGTATCGAATAGTTTAAGATACACTCTTTGATACGTATCGGATATCGTAGGATACTAACAACCATGACTAATGACCATAACAATTCTATAATTATATATTTTTCTTTCTTAGATTGACAGGGCTTAAAATGATTTTACTTTACGTTAATTATAACAAAAACTGCTGTACTGAAGCAATCTCCCTACTAGCTCATTCTGCACTGATACAGTCAACAGAGCTACCAACACTATTCACATGAATATCTTGTGTTAAAAGGAAAAAAGAGGTTAGAAAGAAAAGCCATCTACACGTGTCACAAATGAAGATCCTTTGACAAGCTTTCGGTGAGTCCTCCTTCCTCTTCAACAGGAGAGAGCCGTGGCCTTTTTGCAGCTCGCTCTTCATATGACACTGCCAGAATATCATCATCAACAACTTGCACTTCATCACTTGAAAACTCTCTGTTTTCATCCATTTCAGAGTCTTGATGCAACCTGTTTTCAACTGAATTAGGGTCCTCAAGCAATGACGTAGTCAGATTTTCTTGTCCGGAGGAAGGGCCTACATTTAAGGTACTGTCCTGTATTTTATCAGGTTCCTGAGAACCTTCAATCGTCGATGTCTGCAGCATCTTGCTAGAGACAGACTCCAGGTCTCCAGTCAAATACCCAATGTTGTCCGGAGATATGGATCTGTGTTGATCTGATCTCTCTATAAGACTTTGACTGGCATCCTCTGGAAGTGGATCATGTTCAATTATCCCCACATCTTCTGAGTCATCAGAAGCACACAAAGATGTTTCCGGGGATGAGTCAATATCTTGCTCTCCTTGCATGGGGATCTCCTGGTTCCATGAAACCTCTGTTCCAAAACCTCTAGATGGATATGGAATGGTACTAGCTTGAGTTGTGAGTTCAGTTATTTGCTGGAAACCATTTTCCCCAGAAGGCAAATATCCAAAATCCTCACTTGTTTCTACGTCATCCTGCTTTAAATTAGATGAAACAAGGAAAAATCATTTAATGTGCTGATAATCCAGTCAACTTCTATGGATCTCATTACCGTAAGATCCCTACATATCAAACAGGTTACAAAACAAGCCTCTGCAAGAAACAAATGTAATGTTTTTTACAGCACTTTTTTAACATGTTATGTGTTACCAGCAGAAAAAGTCTTTTAAATGTTATGGTACCATAAGATCAACAGCCAAAGTCCTAAATAATAATAGTCATACTCATAGTCACAATTATCTTGTAAATGAATAGAATAAGACAACAATGATGAAGAAAAGTTTATACCTCTCTTGTTGACATAGCACCATTGAGATGGTAAAAAGAAGATGGCTGGCCAAAAGATTGATACTGTGTGAGTAATGCCCCTGCAGTAGCTCCTGGCTCAAAAAACTCCCTAAGAACCAAGCCAGAATCGTTAACACACTGCATATTCCTTGCAGAAGCTGCTCCTAATAGAGTGATTTCAATGCCCCGGCTAGCCCGTGAATTTGATAAATTTCCATGTTGAGCAAATGAAGAACTGCTTCTTTCTGATAGCAAATTCAAGCCTGTTTCGTTCTCACTGTTTTTGGGAAATCTAGAGGATTGGAGTTCATTATGACAAACAGCCAATGGGACTTCCCGAGAACGATTTTCAAGAAGTTCAAATATCAATTTTTGTATAAGCGTACGTTTAAGAGAAGCCTCGGAGGGTGGAAACCAATCAACGTTAAGCTGGAAAATATAAGTCATGATATATGTGGTTAACCACTTGAAAGATTAAACAAATGACAGGGCAGTCTGTAAGACAAGGTTTGAAAAGCTAGCATTAGACAGACTACTTACAAAGTTAGAAAACTTGGTTAATTTGAATGGGCTGAAATTAACAGGAGCTTCAGCAAGAAAGAGCTCAAGATAGTGGAGCAAGAACAGGCCACAATCAAATGAATTTTCTTGCTGTGGCAGCTGATAAGAAACAAGAATTAAATTGTCAGAACAAAAACAACAAACACCCACCAGACACACACACACACACACACACAGAGAGGCTATTAGGTTATAAACCAATATTAAGTAAATAATCAGTAAATATATGGACATAACCAGTGAATCAACCTTTTCCACCTTATTACTTCCCTATTTACCAACCTAAAAGTAGTTTTTTAAGGCAATCTTTTTATTTTTATAACTCCATTCTACAATAGCTTCAAAATGTAAAAACAATTGCAATACCTCAAGTGGGACAAACCGCATATTCAAGAATTTTGAAGAAATATCTTCTGATGTGTCCTTGTGTCTCACTTTCCACTCCTCCCACAGGTAACTGTTATTTCAACATACAAAAGTGACATGTCAAAAGACTGAAGATGTAATCTCCAATAACACATGGAAACAGACGAGCTTTTACTGAAATCATATTACACAGTAATGGTACTCATCGAGAAATAACAGAGTACGGTGAAACTACAAAGCAATGACACTAAAACATATTTCAAGAGGACAAGGAAAACAAAATGTTTTGTCCATGTTCCACTAAATAACTAGTTCATGGTGCTTAACCATATGTCACATGATAAAGAATTTCAAATAAAAAAATTTCCCACCACAAGTTGAACAAGCAAATATCTGAAACTTTTGCTCAACTATACATTTTTTAACTCTTAGAAGCTCCTTTCACATGGAAAAACAGAAGTAAAGGAGTGATGAAAAGGGATATGACAGAGAGAAATAAAACACTCTAGTTAAAAAGATATTAACACATAACATGAACTAAAAGCTGAAGGATACCTTTGAACAAGATTTTTGAGACCTGCATGAGTTCCTTTGATAGAATCCATATGCAGAATACATGGTACCTTCTCCGACTTGTCTCGGTCTTCATCTGGAAAGAGACAAAGGTGCATGAACAATGGAGTTTTCCAAAAAGGGACCATAGGTTCCAACAAGACTTACCTCTAAAAGCGGCCACTTCACCAAGATGACATATGATTATTAAACTCCAGTGTAGACTATCATAAAATGCATATAAAATTCATCAGTGCCCAAATTAATAGGGAAAGTTTCTGAAAAGAAACAAAAGTTTTAAACTGATTTCTTACTTGAAGTTTACAGGAATGAAAATGTAATCTTTTCCAAATATGTCCACTTTTCTTGTCCACTTATGAACACGTAGAAAAGCAGCCCTGCCATCAGAAATACTGGATGGATCTTTGTCTAAATCAGCAAGCTTTCGAAAGAAAAAGCTGTTAAAAAAATGAAATCTATGCTTTTCCGCAACTTGAATCTGATTCTTCAAATACCTGCCAACCAATTATATTTTCACACTAACTCTTTTTCTTAAATAAATAAATAAAAAGAAACTCAATGTCAGAACCTAATTTACAATCAAAACAAATGCAAAACTTTCTTAAAAATGTCATATTAATGTGGCTTTCTTCTTACTTGCTATGTTTCCAAGTTAGGATCATAAGCTAGTGAATAAAAGAATACAATAAATAATAGAAAAAAATGCAACCAGGGTAATGCATTGAGCCAACAAGAGAGAATTTGAAGCTCAATATCCTACAGTGAAAAGGATATGTCAGAATTAATTAAAGCATTAAATTTACACAAATTAACTTACTTGATATAAAAGTCAATGATTGTATCATTGACGAATGTTTCTGGTTGTAAGAGATCAACATCTCTCTTGCTAATTGAAACAGCATCGGAATCCCCTTTTGGATAGATTACATCTTCAAAAGGCTCATCAAAACTGTATCACCACACATTTGAACATTTATTCAGTTAGAAACCATTCAGTGCTAACAAAAACACCCCTAATAAATATGAATGTTGATCACCAAGTTTCATTTCCTCCACAAGTACAAGTTTCATTTAATATACCATAAGCAAGATCAAAGGCTCATCCAAACTGTAAGACGTCAATTATAAGAATGTTTCATGATAAGTAAATCAAGTTTTTAACAGTCCTCATAGAAAGTTGATTCTGACTTTTCTCCAGAAACAAGCCCTCATTCACTCATCCCACAAGCAAAAACATATTTACATTACACAAGAAAGCCATTCCCAATTATCAGTTAAAACTACAAGAAAAAAATCTATTAAAAGGATAGAGCATCAAAATGTTACAAATCTCATTGTATTTAACTCATGGAAAGAACGAGAGAATGTAATAAGAAAAATGATGACAGAGGATATCAAAGAGGCAAATGAAAGATAACATGGTAAAAAATCATCTGACCACATCGCAAAAAGGCCAGTCCAACAAATAAAGCGTTATATCTACACATGCCATTAAAATAGGAGAAGGGGAAACAGTTAACTTTCACTTACTTGGGAAAATATTGCCTCCGTTCAAACAAATTATTTCCATCCATTTCCACGAGACCACTACAAGTAAATGGAGAGTTATGTTTTAATTGAATAAACACAAGAAAGGTTAAATGAGATTAAAAAGGAAAAATAGAAGATAACACCTAAAGAACTTACAATCCACAACTAATTCATGATTTTACTACAAGATGTATGTGAAAAGTAAAAAATTGTCAAACAGCACACAAACATTCACCATAACATCTATATGCCATCATGCACACAAATCTTAAACAAAATATCTTAAATAGCATCACCAATGGGCCAAATCCTATAGATTTGGTTAATGCACAATAAAATTTGAAATACTGCAACAAGTCAAACGTTTGGTTATAAGCACAATCTTGATTTATTTATACAATTTTTAAAGTTTATCAGCAAGGTAATTAACCTTTATAGAATCATGGTTAAGTTTTCATCAAGACAGAAGGTACAAGAACTTTAGCATACATCAACTACCATCATACATCCAGACAACGTTACACTGCAAAGTCAACAAATTATGACATACATTGCCACAAGGCCTAGAAGGATAATGTTAAACACAACGAAGAAACAATATTAAACAGCTTTAGACACCACTTTAAAAAGCAGGCAACTTGAAACATATATTGCTCATCTCCCAGAACAAGGGACATTATCAATTTAATAATAAATATAAAAAACAAAATTATTATAAAAGTAAATTAACTTACTCAAGCACAACGTTCCATACAGCCCTGTATTTATCATTTAATGAGGTGATTTTTTCCTGTTTCTCAGACCAGTTCTGCTCAATAACTGCAAACTTCAACTCCTCAATGCCTGAATCAATTTAGAAAGGAAAACTATTAAGAAACAAGAACTGTTCAAGTGTTTGAACTTCCAAATAATTGTAAAAGTATAGCCTCAGATCCATACAGAGATTCAATTAAAAGATGCAGCGAACATTCTACTTTTGATCAGATAATAGCCAAAAATGCAAACCAAAATTTTCTTAAACTGATAAAAGCAAAAAATAGAATCCCAATATGGATAACAACAAATCAAAGTTGAGGGAATGTAGAACAAGATCGAAGATCACAGGGAGATCAACAAAGTTGCAATAATTTAAGTAGTGTTTTGATAATCTTCACAATAAATTGTCACTATCTCCTACACCAAGAAACAATAAAACATGGAACAAGCACAATTCAGTGCTACTTCATGAAAACATGAGCACTAAATTTTCCCAAGTACACAGACCTGAAGTGCCTTTTGAATCACCATCTTGGATTGAATTCTTTGACAGTAGGTGAAGCTTAACCACAACTGACGCAACCTACATAATTTCCATACAAGAAACTATAAATCTTTAATGAAAAGCATATGCACAAAACAATTGAAACTTGAATGCATAATCTCACCTTTTGAAACCAATGACACTCAATATCTACAATATCATCAATTCCCCAACTAAAACTTCCTTGATTTCCACATGCAGTTGAATCCTTGATTTCAATACCAGTGCAAGAGAAAGTTATAAGGGACCCCGAACAAAGATCATCCCGATACACAACATAATCAGGATGTATAACAACTTGCATGTTTATGCCATCCTGAAAATTGCAGAGAAAGAATATACAATCAGGTTTCAAAGGCACTTCTAAGTTCTGGCAATGTTTAGACTGTACCGAAAAATGTGATATCATTAATCAAATATTTGTGCCCACAGTTCAATTTAATAAACTTCTTATGAGTAGACAGCAGCAAGTATCTTCACTTACTGCAAAATATATGTTTTATTTCTTGTGGAAGCGAAACTTTCTATCATTGACTAAGCCAACAGCATATATACTAATCATAAAGGAAACCAAAGATATTAAATCCAATAGTAAACTGACATTAGCATCTTTTAAGGAAGCAATGAGAGACACATTAACAGCATAGAGAAAATGTGAAAAAATATTTGAAATGAATGCAGCAAAAATAAGCAATTACCAATACATGCATAATACTTTCTATCCACAGCAGTTAAAAATGATAACAAGACATCTAAGATGCCAAAGATATCAAGCACACTAAATGGAGATCCAAATTCAGATTTAAAAGAAATTTAATACAGCTAACAGGTCAAAAAATGTCTGTTTTATCAATAATGCATTAAAAACTTGAATCAATAATGCATTAGACACTTGAATAGTTTATCAAGAAGAAGGAGAATTACCATTTCCATACCGTCAAAGCAATGATCTGAGACATGACCATCCAAAGCAGCTGAAATTATGCAGAAAACTGTTTTTAGAACATAAAGGATCACAACATAATTGTCCATGAACAACATAATATATGGTAAATGATTATTCAAAATCCCCAAATTAGAAATTATACCATTGTCTTCCATAGTATCAGAAATAGGACTGAAAGGAGAATCCTCATCCATACTTCCGTCCACATCAGAATTCACAGCAGCTGGCTCATTCTGTACAAATTAAAATAAATGTATGAATAACCTTGATATTATTATCTATAGTCAGAACATATATGAGAAGAAATATGAAAACCAAAATACATTTGATGGAGAATCTGAAATGCCACAAGTGAAATGGCTTTTCCCAGGTAAAGGTTCCTGATGGCACGAATCTCTAGAGTCCAGCTCACAAAAGAAATTTCCAGTCCCACAATTATCCTTTCTGAAATAAGGGATTTGTTCACAACTTGTAGAATTCACTTGAGGAGCTCTGGTAACACAATCCTCTCTGTCTGCATCCATGGAGGCATATGTATTTTCATTGTCACAGCTAGGATCACAGTCAACTGCGTCAACATTTACACAAAGCACACTACCAATTCCTTGTTTCTGAATGTTGGTTCCTGAGGCAAACGGAAATTAACACAATCATTAGCATAGTGATGGCATTTGTAACATTATTGTATTATCCTTTTTACAAGTGTTCTAAACCATAACAAACAAAGAAAAAACAAAAGATCAAAACAGCTAATCAAAATCTAAAACAAAAAAGCCTGAAGATGAACAGTTTAATTGACATGTCAAGAAACCTTCTTTTTTCCTTTTTTTTTAAATAACCTAAAAAGTCTTTAAAACCAGTGCAATGAACTGATGTAAGAAACTCGGATTGGTTTCTTGCTAGGTAGGTAACCTGAGAAATAAACCACCAGATTAACCCCTCAGGAGTCATTTTCCAAATTGTCATAGAATAGCCCATCTTGGACTTGAACACACTTATCTTAAAAATCCAACACTTTATATCCTTTTTCAAGAAAGACAGCCATGAATGATAATTGAAGCTTAGCAAAAGGTACTTAAAAAAAAAAAAAATTAGCTTATAAATAGGTAAACAAGAACTCGCACATAACTTGCCTAGGAAATATAGTTTGTCAAAGCCAAATCAAGCCCTAATCAATTGATTCACATGCAAATAGGTCAACAGCTATTTACGATACTTAAGTCTTTATAGTACTCCTATATAACTCGGTGAACAAAACTCCAACACACATTGGGTTACAACTCCCTACTCCTTAACAATTGAGCAGTAACAATTCCCAAATCAGAGATTCAAACTTAAACAAGTAACAAAAATTTTAAAAATAATACAGTCCTGGAAATAACATTGAATTGTCACATAAAACAAAGTTTTACACGATCATTGCTCAAAATTAATCAGCCAAACACATTAGAAATCATATATAATCTCATTTGTGAAACTAAAACTTCTTTGGAGTAAAGAAGATGTAATTATTAGTTTCTATAAAAACAGAAAAAGCGCAAAACATCAACAGCCCATATTTTGCCGGGGTTTCTCAAAACCAAATAGAAAGGGAAAACGTTAATAATAATAAAAATAAAAATAAATCCTCGGCTTTCTCACCAACCAAACAGAGCACCAAAACAGAAACTCACCGCATTCAAGTAAATCGTACTTCAAAACCCCGGAATTATCATGATTAGGGTTATTATACTTCGTTACAAAGTTACCAGCTGCATATTCAGTCAACTCGTCCTCTTCTTTGAAGTCAAAGGCTTCGTGCCCGTTCTCCATGTCGCGAAAGGATTGAATGACTCAGCGAGTCAAAACCGGCTTAGTGGGTTTAGACGATCCAAGTTAATTTAGTAATCGATTTTGAGGAAAAGAAGAGGGAGGTTTCGTAAAGGGCCAACGAGAGAGAAACTGTTTGTTAAGGGTAAAAACTCCTTATGTTCTTTATTAGTAAAGTCGAGGACTATTTATTTAAAAAATAGCAAATGCAACCCTCAATGTTAATTTACAGTTACAGGATTTGCATCATTTAATAAAATATAAATATTAAAATGATTACAAATTATTTCAAACATACGGCAAAACGACACAGTTACAAATCAAAAGTTAATCAACGACTATCAATCAGTATTAATAAATTAAATAAAAAAATTGCAAATAAATAAAAAATCATTTATTATTTTGATAAATGCACATTTAAGCAGTGTGATATAAACTTCAGTCGAACCCTTTATCATTTTGATTAAATCTTTCCCCAAGTAATTAGGAAAATAACCTCAATGATACATCTATAATTTCTCACCGCATCAACAAAACAAAGTCCAAGAAATTTAGGGTTTAGTTTTATTTGAATTGAATTTAGTGAGAGAAAATGTGTGAATGATTTACTATAAATTTATGAATTCCATTGTGGTTACTTGTTTATATTTGATATTATTTAAAATTTAAAAAGGCTAATTGAAGAGTATTTGTGTTATTTTAGTTGAAGAGCGATTTTGTTATTATGTAGAAACAGAAAATTCGGTGTGAAAAGCGTTTGTTAAACTGGGGGCGTATTTGATAGTTTTTGAAAACGTAATCCTTCGATCGTACACCAAAAACACGGGGAAGAAAAGAGCTATGATCCCATTTGTTGCGTATTGATTGTGCGGGGCGAAGTGGCACTTCCACGCGAGTCTGTAGATTGATTTACACCCTTGTGTCTCATTTTCGATGAAGGGGTCATAAATTTGCTTTGGCGCGTGGGTGTTTAGGCGTGGTTATTTATTTGTGAAATGTGTAGCCCTTTGTGACAGAGAAAATTGATATTTTTCATTTCAGCCCGTATTATTTTGGTCTCACTCATTGCCCCTCACTTCTTCTTCTTCTTCTTCTTTTTTTTTTTTTTTTAAATAAAGGGTTAACTACATGGACCTCCCCTGAGGTTTCAATGTTTAACGGTGTATAGAAAATAATCAAAGATGATTAGGTAACACGTAACCTCACATCATTAGCTTACCTTATAACACTGTTAATGGAAAAAGGTTATTTAAGTAATTTTAATAGTTAAAATAGTAGGTTATCCTTTATCTTTAAAAAAATTCAAACTAAAAAACTTTTGTGTTCTTAAACTTTTGATATTTTTTTCATCATATTTTTTTCATCGCCATTTCAACCCCCAAAAAAATATCAACACCACCCAGGGCGTTTGGTTTTGATAACGTTTCATTATAAAAAAGATATGATTACCAGTAAGATAGATAACTTTGAAGATTAATGGATATAAATTATTATTGTGTTTGGTTTGTGTGGGTTGCATAAATAATTAATGTGTTTGATTGACAATAATTACAAAATACTATATTATTTTACTGAAATGCCCATTACAAGATCTATATATATATAAGGCATTTTTGTCCATATAATTAATTAATGAGGTTAAAGAAGTCATTCAACAAGTTGAGTTAATTGTTAATTGACATAAAAAAGAGGGCATTTGTGTCTGAAATTTTTATTAACAAAGGGTACAATTGGAAACAAAAATAGGATTATCACGATAATCTTAAAATACCACTTTCTGGGTCAGTAATCACATAACCCCTATATCACCTCTCATATTACCTGTTGAACCAAACAAGGTAATGACTAGAGTAAGGGTAAAATTGGAAATAAAAGTAGGATTATCATGGTAATCTTAAAATACCACTTTCTAAGTCGGTAATCACATAACCCCTATATCACCTCTCATATTACCTGCTGAACCAAACAAGGTAATGACTAGATTAAAAGGTAGATTATTGGAGTAATCTTCTTAGTGCCCTAACCATACGCAGCCTGATAGTGATATATATATATATTTTTTTTTGTTATCTAAAGGTGTCCGAGCCAGCTTGTGTGAACCTTAGCTAGTCCCCTGAGGCCCTAAAGTTAACAACCAAGTAAGCCTCTAATGGCTACCTCTTATTAGTAATAGTAGGAATTTGAACTTAAGTTCTCTTGAGTAATACATCCAAGAGTCCCAAGCGAACCGTCAAACTACCTAGTAGTTGTTCTAATAGTGATATTCCTTTCTTCTCCAATTTTTTTTTCTCTATAATTCCACATGATTCTGAAACCCAACTCTTTATTTCCTCTAATTTTTTCTTTATCAATTCAAAACATTCAAACCCAATCTTTTTTCCTCTCATTCCTTTATTTCTAGACCAAGTAAATTTATTTCTGTAAACTTAAATCCTCTCTATTTTATTCTCAAGAAAATTTAACTGTCATGACCTCCCAAGTTTGCATTTAAGAAAATCACCTTGAAATGATTTTGCATTTTTTTTTAACTTTGAAAAATTGACGTGGCACACTTAAGAATCACTAAACATGCAAAAATGGTTAGACTGAAAAAATTTAAAAATATATGGGTAACAATATAATTAATGGAAATTGGTGTAAATTTTAAAAATTAAAAAACGACCCCCCATCCAAAACCATGTAATTGAAAGACACAACCCAAAATAAGCGACTGACGAAAACACCCGACTTCTCTTTTACGATTTTCAGCGATTTTTGTTCCCATTTTCCAGAAAATCTTTGCTCTTTAGATTTTCGTTTCTTTGTTAGTTACACAAACAAACCATGGCTGACATTAACAAATCTAAGTAAAACCTAGCCTCACTCCAAATTCTAGAGTCCGGCGACTGTTCAAAGGTTGTAGAAGAAGAGGTTTTGGTGGAGCTTTCGATGAGTGAAGTTGCTCTACCGGCAGAGGACATACCAACGGCAAAAGAACATACAGTAGGCTAAGTAAATGTGTCTGAAGATGAGGACGCCGATGCAAATGCCACTGAGGAGGAGGAAGAACAAGAAGAACATGTACATTTCTTACTATTTTATGAAAAAATTGTTTGTTGGTACCAATTTGGGGGATATTTAGTTGGTGTTGGTTGTTAAGGTGGTTGTGGCATTTTGTCTAGCAGTTGGTGGGCATCGAGGAAGTGCTTGTTTTTGGGTTCCAGAGGATGAGGGAAGACAAGGGAAGCCATAGGGAGGTTGTTTGTGGGAGGTTAGAGGGCTAGGGATGGTAGAAGGGGGCAGAATAGGGGGCTGGGGGCTGTCCTACAATGCCATCTTCAACCATCGAACCTGCCACAACAGCCTCTGTAAGGCCTGCATTGACTTGCCCAGTCCTCTCGAAGCCAAAACACCCACTCCCTGATACCCTCAAAGCCCATATCCCTTAGATTGGCAACCTATTGGTTGTTTTGGTTTTTTCTTTTGCTGATATTTAGTTTATATCGATTGTGTAGTGTTGCCAAAGCATAAATTATAAGGAGTATGGGTTGGAGGTTGTAATCAATAGGATACCACACTTCCCCGCAAGGGTGACGATTAGGTCGAGCTAGCAAATGTTTACGAGAATAAAAGAGATTTGAGGTGGACAAAATAGGGGTATGGACCGATTCAAAGATAGTTGTTTCAGTCATTTACTAGACATAGCAGATAATTGGAATAAGCGTTCTAGGGGTAGGCAGTATATTATATGTTGTTGTACTCAGTTAAAAGCAAAAGAAGAAATGAAATGTGGTTTGTGGTGGATGGGAAGCCACTACATTTTGGGATGATGGAATTTGCCTTGAGGATAGGCCTAAGATGTAGGGCATTTCCAGAAGTAGAAGAGGAAGAGATAATAAAGAAGAGTAGGACAGTCGAAACCTTTGTTCGAAAGGTTTTGGGGGGGCAACCGTCTATTACAGCGTGTGATTTAGAGGATAGGTTAGGAGAATAAGGGTATACCTCTTCGGACAAGTTTAGGATGTGGCTAGTATGGTTCTTGCATTCCATCCTAATGGCTTATGACTCACCAAAAACCATTAATCTGGATTCTGGATTGGGTATGGTTCGCAAGCAACTAAGAGCTCTTTAATGCTTATCCGTGGGGAAGGTTATCATTTCAGCTAACCATTGTTTGGCTTCCCATGGGCAATGCAGGTAATATTAATAGTTTTTTGTTATATTTTTTGTATTATATGTGTTTTAATTATGATATGGACTATTTTTTTTTTTACAAAGTATGTTTGGATTTATGAGGCAGTCACTGTCTTGGCTAAGGCAGGGGGCAGAAGGAGACTTCGGATGAGTCACCATAATTTCTTAGGATGTTGCAATGGCACACCAAGAAGTGTGCCTATTGGGACTATGACAAAATAGAAATGAAAATTCAAGTGGCTTGGGTAAAATTAAAGGATTAATCTTTTGAATATGCACTTGCTTTTAAATGTGGCTTAAATTTGATTGATTTTTTTTTCTTATTGCAAGGAGTCGTTTGTCCCTTTATCACCCCTACTAGGGGTGAATTGGAAGCGGAATATATTACATCGTTCGTACCACTAGATGATGTAACAGATGAGGGGATGGACTGCCTAATGGGGATCTAAAAGGGGTCATGCTTTTGACTACAGCTACAGGGCCACTGGTTGATCATGTGGTTGAGATCGAAGCCGCAGTCGGCGGGAGGGAGGAGGAGAAGGATGAAGAGGTGGATACTGAGGTTTGTAAGCCTCCACCCAATTGGCAAACCGGTGCAGCAAGTACTGATTTGCCGAGGTGTCGGGAGAATGAGGTGGTTGACCTCATAAATGGTCTCACAATGCAAGAAAATCATCAGCAAATTTCACTCCTTTCAACTTGCATTACATCAAACACAACCCAAGAACCTAAACCACTAAATCAAAATTATAACCCAAACCCAATTCATCATTAAATCTTTGTACATAGAAATGTAAAATGCAAATAGGAGATACACATACCTGGACAAAATGTCAGGAGGAGGAGGAGGAGACAGATCTTCGGCAGAGGAAGAAGAAGGTGTAGAGGAAGAAGAAGATCTTCAGTTTTGCTAAGAAGAAACAACAACCAGGGGAGGGGA